TGATTTGGCCTAAGATAGCATGAATTTAGGACATGAAACCCAAAGTCCTGAGCAAGACGTGGTCTCCTGGTCCTGGCCAGTAGTCAACAAAAACATGGGAGTGAGCCACAGGCCACTGTGGAAATGGCTGTGGGGGTCTAGCTGGGTTAGAAGTTTTGGTAATGAGTGAAATCATAAAAAAAATAAGAATTAAGAGAGCTTCATCAAAAAAGCTTTGAGATCTTAGAAGTAGAGGTTTTGAATGACTGAATCAAAAGGATTACCTTAGTAGTAGATAAAACTTGAAATTTTTCTTTTAAGAATATGTTTTCTGGGGTCAGCACTGTGGCTCACTTGGTTAATCCTCTGCCTGTGGCACCGGCATCCCATATGGGCACCGGTTCTAGTCCCGGCTGCTCCTCTTCTGGTCCAGCTCTCTGCTGTGGTCCCGGGAAGGCAGTAGAGGATGGCCCAAGTGCTTGGGCCCCTGCACCCACATGGGAAACCAGGAAGAAGCACCTGGCTCCTGGCTTTGGATCGGCGCAGTTCCGGCTGTAGCGGTCATTTGGGGGGTGAACCAACAGAAGGAAGACCTTTCTCTCTGTCTCTCTCTCTCTCACTGTCTATAACTCTGTGAAATTAAAAAAAAATAAAATAAAATATGTGTTCTTATTTATTTATTGATTGAGAGAGAGTGCACTCCTGTGCCGGATTCACTCCCCCAAATTCCTGCAACAGCCAGGACTGGGCTGGTCCAAAGCCAGGAGCCAGGAACTCTCAATCCAGGTCTCCCACAAATGTAGCAGGAATGTAACTACTTGAGCCATCAGCATTGCCTCCCAAGATCTGCATCAGCAAGAAGTTGAAGTCAGGAGCCAGTCCCACATATCAAAACCATGTACTTCAACACTGGGACATGGGATTCTTAGCAAGTGTCTTAACTGCTAGGCATAAACACTACTCCCAAACCTGACATTTTCAGTGTTCAGGTTCACTAATCAGAATTCTAGTACTAGTGATTTCTGTTCTTTTTTTCTTTCCAATCCCTTTCTTTTTTTCTCCCTTATTTAAGTTGGACAATAATAAATTAAGGAAATTAGTTGGTGGCATAGAAAACTGATTGAAATCTATGCTGTTCTTGGGCTTCAGTTTCTTCACTGATAAAATAAAGAGAATGTGATCATCCTAGGTCCTTTCCATTTCTAAAGTTCTGTTTCTAAGAGAGTTTAAGATTGATGCCAGCAGTGGAAGACTTGTTTTGTTCTTTGCTGTCACCAAACTCTCCCCTAAGTGTAACTGGGGGCACAGACTTTTTTCTTATGTCTTTAATTTTTATTAAACTGTGCTTCTTAAAATGCTTGATCCTGATGTGCATAAGACATCACTGAGGGGTTGTGGGTGTATAGGAAGAACGGACAGAATGGGCAGAATTTACTTCTTCAACCCCCATCTGTTTTATCATATGTAATAACTTATAAGACTATCAAAAAATGTGCTCCAGATGCCAGAACTGTGGCATGGTAGGCTAACCCTCCACCTGCAGCGCTGGAATCCCATATGGGCATTGGTTTGAGTTCCAGCTGCACCTCTTCCAATCCAGCTCTCTGCTATGGCCTGGAAAAGCAGTGAAGGATGGCTCAAGTGTTGGGCCCCTGCACCCGCGTGGGAGACCTGGAGGAAGCTCCTGGCTCTTGTCTTTGGATCGGCCCAACTCTGGCTGTTGCAGCCATTTGGGGAGTGAACAAGCAGATGGAAAACTTTTCTCTCTGCAACTCCACCTCTCAAATTAAAAACAAAATCATTTAAAAAAAAATGTGCTCTATTCCAGTATACCTTTTGTGAAACTGAGTATGATGGCATCCTTTGTAAAGACCATCTATAGACCTGATGCCTCCTTTGCAGGCAGTACAAAAACAAGCCTCATGTTAAGTTTCTGGGCTCACATATGCTCAAGTGTGACTGATGGACTTTCATTTGGGAACTTGCTAGAAGTATAGATTCTCAGGCTACTGCAGACCCACTGAATCAGAATCTGTCTCTTGACAAGAGCCTCGGGTGATTCATTCACACGTTCAAGTTTCAGAAGCCTTATGGTAGTTCAGGGATTAGCCAGCATCCTGGCCCCTCACCTCGCCAGGAATGAAGGACGCATGTCGGCTGCAGTGTCATTCATTGGCAGCTGGGTTTGGTTTGATATGGACCACCCTCAGGAAGGCTGGAGGAAAACCCACATGTGAAGTTTTTACCTGACTCTTATTTCCACTGCAGCCTCTCACCACATTATCCTGCAGGTCTCTGCTGTGATCCTTTCTCGCATTTGGCTTACATAACAGGATTTGCTCAGACTCCAATCTAGCATCTCCTTTCATTTTCCTCCTACTGCCTCATGTCCATGTTAAATCTCAGCTTCTGGAAAAGAGAGCTGAGTTGCTAAATATGTCTTCAGTTCCCTTTAACCACCACCTCCAATTTCATATTTTCTTTGCCTCCTATTTATCTCCCATTTTTGGCTAAATTACTAAAACTTGATTTTCACAGAACCAAGGATTTATATGAAACAATTTGCCATTAAGTGGTAATTTTTAGGACTTTTCATGTTTAACATGTAAACTTCTTAATGATTCAGGTTTTAGAGATCTGATTTTATGTTTTCTGTTTCTTTTTTATTTGCAATTTGAAGAACAAATAGGAAAAAATATTTGAACCTCAAATCACATGTTCATAAGGCTATTTTGGTGGGGAAAATTAAAGTATCTGCTAAAATGAAGTATATTTTCTAATGCAACCTAATTTTATCTACATCCAATTTTCGGATTTTATTTTAAGGGTATGTGGTATATGGAGAGGATATTATAAGTAAAGCTTATGTCATTCCCATTCTAAAAGCTCTGGTATTTCTCTTAGTGTGTGAGTTATTAACGCGTCCCCTGCTGCATCCAGAGCCTTCCATTTTCACTAGTTCACATCCTCTGACATATGGCTGCTGCAGCTGCACAGCTTCTCCCTACCAGTAGGCCTCATCTGAAGGCAGCCATCATAATTCACTGCTATTAACTTACTGATTCTAAACCACTCTGTCGTGCTCCAGAGTAGCTGGAGCTATTCTAAAATGTGCACGAAGGACTGAGAAATTGTCAGGCTCGTGCAGTTGTCAGTCTGTGCTTCAGAGTCAGAGGTCACAGCTTGCAGGTGCTTTCAGTGCAGCAGAGGAGTGGTGAGCCCTCAGATCCTATCTCCAGCAGAGATTCTTAACCATTTGCTATTTTGCATGCAAAAATTTGCTTATGAAGAATCCATACCAGGGGCTGGCATTGGTGGCACAGCAGATTGAGCTGCAGCCTAGAATGCCAGCATCCCCTGTGAATGCCATTTCAAGCCCTGGCTACTCCACTTCCTATCCAGCTCCCTGATAAAGCACCTGGGAAAGCAATAGAATCTGGCCCAAGTCCTTGGTTTCCTGTCACCCACATGAGAGACCTAGATGAAGTTCCTGGCTTGTGGCCATTTGGGGAGTGAACCGGCGGATGGAAAATTTTCTCTCTCTCTCTCTCTCTCTCTCTCTCTCTCTCTCTCTCTCCCCTCTCTCCCTCTCTCCCTCTCCCTCCCTCCCTCCCTCCCTCCCTCCCTCTCTCCCTTTCCCTCTGTGTAACTCTGCCTTTCAAGTAAATAAATAAATTTTTTAAAAAATATGTACCATTTTCCTCTGAAACTATATATTGTGGGTTTGCAACTAGTGATACTTAGGTTTATCAACTTTAGTATTAACCATTTCTTTTAAAATGATTTGATATTTGTAGAATTTTTCATACTAATTTTCATATACTTTTAATTCCAATAAATTAACATTTCTTTTTTAATCTTTTGTTTGACCTATATCACATTTCTGTTAAGCTTTTATCAGTAAGCTTATAATATCTGCTCATAACTCTAAATCTTCTGATAATTATCATCTTTAATAATTTTGGTTTATGGGGCCGTGGCTCACTTGGTTAATTCTCCACCTGTGGCGCCGGCATCCCATATGGGTGCCCAGTTCTTGTCCAGGTTGCTCCTCTTCCAGTCCAGCTCTCTGCTGTGGCCCAGGAAGGCAGTGGAGGATGGCCCAAGTGCTTGGGCCCCTGCACCCGCGTGGGAAACCAGGAAGAAGCACCTGGCTTCGGATCTGTGCAGCTCTGGCTATAGCGGCCATTTGGGGAGTGAATCAATGGAAGGAAGACCTTTCTTTCTGTCTCTCTCTCTCACTATCTAACTCTGCCTGTCAAATAAAAATAATAATAATAATTTTGGTTTAAGAATTATTTTATATATTCATATTTATTTGTTGAGTCATTAATAAAAATGAATTTTTATGAATAACAAGTCTCTAAGAAGAAAAATGGAATGTGCATAGAATATCCCTGTATCACAGATTGTCTGCTTCAGTGTACATGCTGGTAGGCAGTGGATACACAGGCCCCTGCCCCACTCCTCCCATCCTATGCAAGTGTACTTGCTGTTTGACGTTGTACGTAATGGCATTGTGCAGTTTTGTATTTGGAATCATCTTTTGTTCTTCTCTTAGTGTGGTGATAGGAGCTTTTTCTATGATGAATTAGTTAGTTACTGATTATACTATGCTTTCCTAGTCCAAACCACTGTTGCAAGCTCTATAATTTTCAAAAATAGTATGCCAGGTTTTGCTGGTTCACTCCCAAATGGCCAGGGCTAGGCCTGGCTGAAGCCAAGAACCTGAAACCCCATCTGGGTCTCCCATGTGGATGGCAGGTGCTCAAGCTCTTGGACCATCTTCGCTGCTTTCCCATGTGCAATAGCAGGGTGCTGGATTGGAAGCAGAGTAGCCAGGCAGGACTCAAACTTGTGCTTCCATATAGGATGCCAGCATCCAGTGGTGGTTTAACCCACTGCACCACATGCTGGCCCCTGTGTGCCTGGTTTTAAATTCCCAAATGGGAACTATTTTGCTATTATCAAATTTCATTTTCTTCCAATTTTTAAATAACAAGTGTATTCTCCCTTTATAGGTGCGCTTTGTAAAGAATATAACTTCCTGGAAAGAGATGAAACCAGGTTTTTATCATGGACATGTTTCTTATTTGGATTTTGCGAAGTAAGTAACATCTAAAATGACACACTGAAGAATACTGTGTACTTTAGCAGCCTAAAAAGATTTAAGTTCATTAAATTGCTATGATTTTGATTTTCCAAAAGAAGAATGTACTAACTTGTCCTGGTCCTGGTTAGATCTGGAATTTAAATACACCTTCTAGTGTTTTACTGCCCCCTAGTGTTCATAAAATGACAATTCAATTCTTATTTTAACTGCAGACCTTCACGATAAGTTTAAGTAATACTCTGTAAATTTTTTTTTCCTGTCATTATTATGTGTATGTTCTTGTGCAGCCAGAATGACGCTGTTTCAGACAAGGCCAGGTCGTGACTAATCATTCAGATTGCAGCTTGCCACATCTTTGACAGAACTGAGAAAGCAAAGAAGCTCTTGGTGGTGCCTCAGTGTATCTGCCTGATAGCTAAGGCACAGAAAAGTGTACACTTTCCCTCGGGCTGTCTTGTTTCCTCCTTAAAATTACGAGGTATTAGGAAGAGTTGTTTTTGTTACTGATTTCTTTCATTTAATTTGCTTGTTATTGGAGATAAGTAAGTCTCTTATTCCATGTTTTGTGGGGAGGAGTAGGATCAGGGTTTTTCCATCATAATCCAATCCAAAAAGTTCAGAAGATTACAAGGCCTCCTGGAAGTATTCAAGCACTGTGTGGTCCTCTGTAGAGTCTGTGCCCTGTTAAATGTTAACCAGAAGGTGAGTTAAAAGGGATGTTTGAAACATGAGTCTTGTGGATCTGGTTGGTTTTTGTTTTTTATAGTACATATAGTACCATTATAATAAAATTTGAAATCTTAATGTTTTCTCTAATAATAGTCATTATTGGGCTGGCACTGTGGCGTAGCAGGTAAAGCTGCCACCTCTGGCACCGGCATCTCATAAGGGTGCCTGTTGGAGTCACAGCTGCTCCATTTCCGATCCAGCTCCCTGCTAATGCACCTGGGAAAGCAACTGAGGGTCCTTGAGTCCCTGCACCCACATGGGAGAGCAGGATGAAGCTCCTAGCTCCTGGCTTTTGCCTGGCCTAGTCCCAGTCATGGCTATTTGGGAAGTGAACCAGCAGATGGAAGATCTCTCCTCTCCTCTCCTCTCCTCTCCTTTCCTCTCCTCTCCCCTCCCTTCCCCTCTTCTCTCTCTCTCTCTCTCTCTCTCTCTCTCTTTCTTCTTTCTGTCTATCCCTTCCTCTCTCTGGCTTTGCCTTTCAAATAAATAAATAAATCTCAAAAAAAATCTTTTAAAAATCTCATTATTGTCAAAAATACTAAAATTTTTACTATTTAAAAATACATATCTTACTATTAACCTTAGGCATGCTCACTCAAGTTTTTAATTAGCAATCAGGACTTAAAGGAGTATATCCTCATGTATCTGTCAACTTTAAAAGACATTCTATGTAAGCTTTAAAATCAAAGTCATGGGGCATAGCAGCTTGGAACCACTGCTTGCAATGCTGGAATCTGATATTCAGAGCACCAGTTCAAGTCCCAGCTGCTCCACTTCCAATCCAGCACCCTGCTAATGTGCCTGGGAAAGCAGCAGAAAATGGCCCAAGTACTAGCGTGCATGCTACCCATATGGGAGATCAGGAAGGAATTCCTGGCTCCCAGCTTCAGCCTGGACCTACTTTGACCATTGTGGCCATTTGGGGAGTGAACCAGTGGTTGGAAGATCCCTTTCTCTCTCTCTCAGCTCTGTCACTCTACCTTTCAAATAAATAAAATATTTTAAGGTTTTTATGTCTTTATTTGAAAGTCAGAGTTATAATGAGAAATGAATGCCCACAGATGGATTCCCCAGATGCCCACAGCAGCCAGGGCCGGGCCAAGCTGAAGCCAGAAGCCAGGAGGTTCATCAGGGTCTTCCACATGGGTGGGAAGGCCCAAACACTTGGGCCATCTCTTGCTGCTTTTCTCAGGCCATTAGGGAGCTGGATCAGAAGTGGAACACTAACTAGCACCAATATGAGATACAGGTATCACAAGTAGAGACTTTACCCAATATGCCACAACACCAACTCAAACAAATAAAACATAATTTATTTAAAAGAAAGTTTTATCTTATTCTCAATTCAGCATCTTTCATTTGCAAAGAAAAAAAGTAGAATGGAATATTACTGATTCCAATTGATAATAAATCTTTTTTGGAAATCCTGTGATTAAAAAAGAACCACCCAACTAGTACATACATAAAATGGTATATTCCTATTTCTAATCCTCCCAGAGTACTCAAGATCTTTCAATAAAATGTAGCTTTAAAGTTAGATGTACATTTTTCTATAAATAATTCATCCTGCAATATTGAAAACATTTTATAGGCAGCTTTAGAATAAGCTAATTATTTTTTCTTTACAGAGGCATTGAACCAATTTCATAAACTTCATTCATATGCATATTTTCCCTTAGGGCTGCATTATCCTTGAATTGAATGTTTGTTACCCTTTCACCTAAATGATTTATTTTTTTCCACACACAGCTCGGTTTCTAATACTTTAGGTTTTCATTATTAAAATTATATTTTGAGTGCTTTTGCTTTTGGCAAAGTCTTGTACTTAGAACAAAGCTCTGGTATATGTTGGGGTTCTTGCAGTTGAAAAGTATAAAGCTTTCTGAAAGATTAATCTTATTTATTAAATATGGACATGAATGTTTTCAAAATGGGTCTCATGTTACTAGAAGTGAGACATATTGTGAAAATTCTTAATAGAATTTTACAAGATTTTAAACAGATACCTAAATAAAATCATCTAGAGGAAATGTATCTGGATGCATATAATTTATTAGAGCTGTTACAGATATAATCAGTAGTCATAAAAACTCCATGAATGGGGAAGGAAGGGGAAATAGCATTTCGCCAATTTTTAAAAATACTTTATTCTTCAAAGCATTTTTAATGTATTTTTATGTATTTGAAAGGCAGGGAGAGAGGGCCAGAGGCATCTGCTGGTTCACTTCTTAAATGCCTAAAGCAACCAGCGCTGGGTGAGGCTAAAGCCAGGAACCCAGAGCTCAGTCTGGGTTTCTTAGGTGAGTCACAGGGACCCACGTCCTGGAGTCGTCACCTGCTGCTTCCCAGAACATGCATTTGCAGGAAGCTGGATGGGAAGCAGAGCCAAGACTAGAACCCACACACTTCAATATGGGATGCAGGCATCTCAAGAGGCATTTTAACTGCTGTGCCAAACGCCCAGGCCATATTCTCTATGGAGTTCACTAAAAAGCTTTAAGAGAAAATGGGGCCGGCACTGCGGCTCACTAGGCTAATCCTCCGCCTTGCGGCGCCGGCACATCAGGTTCTAGTCCCGGTCAGGGCACCGGATTCTGTGCCGGTTGCCCCTCTTCCAGTCCAGCTCTCTGCTGTGGCCCAGGAGTCCAGTGGAGGATGGCCCAAGTGCTTGGGCCCTGCACCCCATGGGAGACCAGGAGAAGCACCTGGCTCCTGCCATCAGATCAGCGTGGTGCGCCGGCCGCGGCGGCCATTGGAGGGTGAACCAACGGCAAAGGAAGACCTTTCTCTCTGTCTCTCTCTCTCACTGTCCACTCTGCCTGTCCAAAAAAAAAAAAAAAAAAAAAAAGAGAGAAAATGGTGAATTTGGCAAAAGAAAAAGTTAATCATATGTTTTTCATTTACCTTAGCACACATGCTAAAAAGAAGGAAAACCCAGGAAACAAGATAGGGAAGTTAAAAATAAAAGCTCCTTTCAGTTTAGATTGATCATTAAGAAACACATACTACATTTGTAAGCCTCTGTCTACTCAAGCCATGTTTTTGTTATATTTACTTGTTCTTTTTTTTTCCAAAACTTTAGAGTAATGGCAAAAATATCTTCTTAGCGTTTTACATTCTTATCATGTCTGACAACTTTTTCCCTTAATCATATTTGATTTTTTAGCATATTTCCTAGTGCTTTTTCCTTTTGATTTTCCCTGCTGGTGTTTAATTACTGTTTTATTTTCTTTTTACCACAAAATTTTTTTTAAAGATTTATTTATTTATTTGGCAGGCAGAATTACAGAGAGGCAGAGGCAGAGAGAGAGAGAGAGAAAGGTCTTCCATCCACTGGTTCACTCCCCAGATGGCTGCAACAGCTGGAGCTAGGCCAATCTGAAGCCAAGAGCCAGGAGCTTCTTCCAGGTCTCCCATTCCACTGCTTTCCCAGGCCATAGCAGTGAGCTAGATTGGTAGTGGAGTAGCTTATACTTAAACCAGCACCCATATGGGATACCAGCATTGCAGACTGGGGCTTTAACTTGCGGCGTCACAGCACCAGCCCCATTTTTACCACAATTTTAAAATAAAGTAAATATGATAATGCTCTAAATTTAGAAAAAGGGGGCTTCTGCTGTGTCATAGTGGGCTATGCCTCGCCTGCAATGCCTGCATCACATGTGGGTGCCTGTTCATGTCCCAGCTGCTCCTCTTCTGATCCAGCTCTCTACTATAGCCTGGGAAAGCAGTAGGAGATGGCCCAAGTACATGAGCCCCTGTACCCTCGTGGGAGACCCAAAGACAGAGAGAGAGAGAGAGAGAGAGAGAGGAGAGACAGAGAGATCTTCCATCTGCTCGTTCACTTCCCAAATGAGTGTAATAGCCAGGGCTGCGCCAGGCTGAAGCCAGGAGCCAGGAGTTCATGCGGGTCTCACATGTGGGTGGCAAGGGCCCAAATGCTTGGGCCATCCCTTGCTGCTTTCCCAGGCACATTAACAGGGAGCTGGATTGGAAGTGGAGCAGCTGGGACTCGAACTGGTGCCTACATGGGAGGCCAGTGCAGCAGGCTCAACCTCCTGCAGCACAGCGCCAGCCCCTATTATTCCACTTTGATTTTCTTCAAACAGTTTTATTTAAGCATATGTTAGATGTGTCCTTTGGTACACATTTCTTATTGTCCCCAGAAATGACAGTGAGTTTTCATCACTGTCATTTTTTCTCCGATATTACCTCTCTTGTCATTTTCAGAGCAATTAAGGTGAGTCAGTAAAGAAGCAGATGTG